GGGGGGGGGGGGGGGGGGGGGGGGTGGTGTCCTGCTGTCAAACTTGTGCCTTTAAGCGGTGATTATGCAGATACATACCGGGGCTGTTGGCAAGCACACTCGGCACATCGTCTCGGAGCTGCTGTTGCTGCTACCGCCGCTGCTGCTGCTGGACGGGGTGGAGGACAAGTTGGAGGCAGGCGATCCGTGCAGGCTGGAGTACTTGGGCTCTGCCAGGTTGGAGGACGGCGGCGGCGACATGCCGAATGCCTGCTTCCCGTTCAGCGGCATCATCATCATCATCTTGGGGCGGGGGCTCGCGGTTCTCGCTTGGAATCCCGCGCGGAGCTGGCCGGGTTTCGCTCCGTTGCCGCTGCTACTGCTGCTGCACACCTTGTCCCAGCAGGTGGCTCGTGGCAAGACATGAAGGGACTTTTCCCGGTCACTGTACGTGTGTGTGAGAAGAGAGCGCGCGCGTGTTTCTGTGTGTATCAACTCTCCGGCTGCAAGTGTGCGCGTGCTGCTGTGGGCCGATGCTGAGCGCCTATTGGTCACAGGCGGGCTCGGCTGCACGGGTCTCAGAGGCGGAAAGGCGCTCGCGCTTTAGCCTGTCGTGTTCCATCCACCTGGTGGGAGCTGAAGAGAAGCAAACCGCAGATCTTACACTCCGGAGAATTTCGACCCATTAGCATGGCCGTAGAATAACACGCATGCGGATACACTCCCTCTCCCAAACCACCCACCCCTTTCAACGCGCTCACTATACTTAGCAGCCCCTAAATAAAGGTTGATGATTACCCCACACCGATTCTGTTTTCCCCGCAGAATTACCAATGTACAGATACTGCCGCGAAATTAACACCCTATAGATTTTTATTAATAGAAGCATCAGCCGAAGTACAGTATTCACGTTTTGGTTTTGGTTTGCTTTTAGCTATCTGTGATGCAGGGACTTCAATGATATGTTTCTGTGGCTGAATTTCCACTTTATGACACAATATATTCTAAATTATTTTCAAATGAGAGATATTTTCCACATTCTTACATATGTAACGTATTTAATGAATGTTCAGCACTGCTAACCTCGCAAAGTATTTACCGAATATTGCATCCATTTGGCATATTGTCTATTAAGTTGGTTGAGATTTTGAATTTTTATAACTTTCATGCAATTTCGGTGGAAATCAGGAAATTGTATTGCACGACTTGCAACCACTCTTCTCAAAGCACGGTGAAACAAAATAAATCAAACTTAAAAGCTTGACTATCATTTAATTATCACGCGAACAGCGCTTTCATTGCACCCGAAAAGAAGTCGAACAACATCTCTAAGCAAATTATGACTAGGGCAGAGAGGAATTATTAGATTGAAATTTCATTTGGGCTCGAGAGACACGGGACTTCAATGTATAATCTGCTGTGTCTCATCTGATTTGTATGCGTAATTCCCGTTGACAAATTTATTAGTTTTCATAATCGTGTAAAAAAAATGAGAAGCAGCGGGCTAATATCTTGTATCTATAAATTGTACATGTGTCATTCATGAAGGTTCGTCTACGTGAAGTCTAACATTTATAGCAATTTAAAAAGGACATCATCCTCCCATCTTTAGTATTTGATAAAGAATCACACAATGTAGTTCGTAGCTTCAGCAGAAGGTTATTAACTCTAAATTAATATGACTTTTGATACCTCATCAGAGAGGTAATTAAACCCCGAAATTACGTACTAATTAACAAGGATCGTCCAATTTGCTTAATCTATTATAAAATTCAACAGAGCTGATTTATTCTTTCCCAGAACTGTTCACAGCACATTTTAGTATGCAATGCATCAGTTCTTATTAACATATGTTGCATTAGGTTTTATTTAAAGCTACAGGCTAACTAGGATTGTTCTTAAACTCAAAGTTTAGAACCAAGTTCTGTATCTTCGTAGAACAGCATGGCAACATATCACAGTGTCTTGAGTTGTTACAATTATAAATTAGTTTCTACGTTCCGAAACAATACACTGACAACATTTCTTCAGAAAACCACATTGATGACAATTGTAGATCGATTTTTGTTTTACTTTTAGATATAAGCAAAATACCCAGCGAGTTCTCTTACAGTCTATAAAAGTTGATTCTTCATTAGTTTTTGTTGGTTGTTATTTTATTCTGTATTCTATTTTATTTTTCTATCTATAATAGACCACTTCTAAAAATCAAGTTCAAGTTACGTATTTATTTAAATAGATTCACATAAAATTTGGAAGTGCTGAAAACTGTTGTTGCAAAAGCTTCCACGTTCGGTTTATGTAGCTGCAATATTTGTAAAAACCTCTAAAACCTGCTCATTTACAATTGGTAACCGGCAGTGCAAGAAGTTTATTCCTGCGAAAATGCGTGTTAGTGGAGTAGTAGATTTTAACGACGCTTACTTGATAAGATTTGTAGAAAGTTGCTGCAGAATAATTTTTGTTGATTGAACAACCTGAGGTATCCAGCGAATTAGACCGGGCAGATTACTGCGTATTGCATTTTGAATCTGAACAAAATATGCTGTTAAAATAGTGCTCACATAGGAATGAGCAAATCAACTGAAGTTGTCAATTACTATGAGCTTATTTCTGTCACTGCTGCTTACCCACAACTGACAGATGCAACTGGTTTGCTTCGAAGTATACAGGTTCTTCTGGCAATACTATACACTGATTAAAGAGATGCAAACGATTCTTCAAGTGGAAATAGGTGAAGGCATTGTCGCGAAGATATAACGTGATTATGAACATCAATTAAATATTTTAACAGCTTATGAAAAATGTTGATTTAGTATCATATGTAGTGTGTTAAACGTCCAGATGTATTTATCTGCTGCTTTAAAGAACAGGTTTGACTGAACAGGATCAATACAAATGAATTGCGTAAATGCTCAGCAAATTGATTGTGGTTTGGTATAAGCCTGAGCTCGCGCACCCCATAGCAGTATTTTAGATAGTGCAGAGAGGACCACTGCAGAAGTGAAAGGAATAAAGGATGCACAAACAATAGTGGGCTTTTTCTTAGATTGCAACTAAGACAGCAGCTGTGACATATGGGTAAGAAGAGTTACTGAACGCCGACACAGAAAAGACGAGGGAAAAGGTATCATTGCGCAGAAAAAAATGAAAATGATAAGACAACAGATGAACTGGGGAGAAGGTGGACTTGTATCAGTTGAAATAAGTGCAAAGGACGAAAATGAGACTTTGGTGACAGAGAGAAAAAATGATGTGTAGATTCGAAAAGTGAGAATCGGATGTGAGAATGAAATGGAAAGCATTCCCAGACGAATGAGCTTTGAAGAAAAACCATGTGCAAGAAGTTGGCCGACAAAGATATAATCAGTGACGTGATCACAAAACGAGGAGAACGAGTTTCATGTATTATAATTAACAAAATGGAAAAACATATGCCGAAATTGTAAATATTTACAGAGGTAACTGGCTGAAAGAGAAAATGAGGAGTGGGAATTAAAAGACGAAGGCATCCATGCTGCAGATCCAGATAGGCAAGCCAACCTCTCTACTGTAGAATAGCTTCTAACATTATCCCCACTATCGAGACATTTTTAAATGTCCCAAAGCAATTGCAAACTGCCAGTAAAAGTGCTGTGCATTAACTATCATACAAAATGCCATCAGTCTTCAACCAGCTATAGCACACAAAAGGACTGCTTAACATTTGAGCAGCATTCTGAGTCCGGTCCACAGACACCAGGAGGGAAATCACTGTCTCCTCGCGTAGACACATGTTCTGATTTATGATAAAAGTTTAACGAAATCATTTATATTTCAGAGATTCTAAATCTTGCATAATACTTTTTATCCACCATGACATATATGTTAAAGGAAAACGTGCCCCTTCCATCATCAAATTACGTAAATAACAACGCCGAAGGTTTTGCAATCACCTGATTAAAGTTCCACCAAGGTAACAGTCCAAGAACATTTGTTTTATAATACGTAGATGTTTATTTCCACACAATATAAACAAGAATATAAAATACAAGAAAGTGTAATAGAATATAGGACCACGAATTTCTCAAGACCCCACTCAAACTTCTGCATATACGTCAAAGTAATGATGTTTTTATTCATGGTTAAACATATTAAAAGATAGAACTTACGCGAGTTTTTTTTCTGTACGTTGACCGTTTCAATCGAGCTGATAACTTAGAAATGGCTGAAAGAAAATGTTGGTATGAATACTTTATGATCATTATAACTGATTAGGACTTGATATTGGTTTGTTTCCTTACATTAAATCCCGCGAGTATCAGTTGGATAAAATGCAAATACGACTGCAGTATGTGGGGTCTTTGTGCTTTGGGTGATGTGAAATATGGTTTGGTCTAGTGAAGTCACGAATTACTGACAAATTATGGGAAATGATTTCTTGGTTCCTTTCCAGTAATTAAGTTTCGATTTGTAGCGTTTATTCTTCTGCCGAGAAACGTTTGCTTCAATAAATTTTGAAGTCTCAATTGATTGCTCCTGGCTTTAAGTTTTGATTTCGTGATAAGACTCCACATTTTATGAAAGAGCAAATAAAGCGGCTGCGTGGATTCCGATTTCAGCGTTCAGCTTATTTACATTTGACAGTTATAAAATCTACAGCATCCTCAATTTTTAACCGTCAAACTTCTTCCTTCCACTTTTAATAGACTTTACTGGACTGACTACAATTGCAATGGATACAATATTTTGCCCTGCATCAGGCATATATCCAAATGATTTTTCTTCTTTTATTATAGGTTTCCAATATCCACAATATTCTGCCTTTCAAGTAACAATTTGTTTTACATTTGGGGTGTTTAATGTTGATAAAATGCATTCGTGGTCAAAATAAGAGATATTTCGAATTGTTAGATTATGGTGAAATGGACTTCACGCGAGCCAAGCAGAGCCTAAAGATTCAACCCTAAAGTTATTTTACGGCTTTGATCTTGAGGCATCAGCATGACTTGTTGATAACAAAATGTGGAGCTGGAGGAACACAGCAGGCCAGGCAGCATCAGAGGAACAGGAAAGCTGACGTTTCGTGTTGGGACCCTTCTTCAGAAGTCTATCTTGCCATCTCAGCATGACTTGTTGGGCGTGTTGGCTGTGTTTTCCCAACACTCAACCAATACCTGTGAGATTGCATGAACAAGAGAATACAAGGTCTCTTGGGTTTACTTTTGGGTGCAGTCCAATTGTAGCCTATTCTTTCGCCGAGTTTAACCTTGTCTTTCTGGTATATTTGACTTCCTGGGCCAGGAACTTATGCGCAACTG